GTGAGCCAAACCGCTTACTGTTCATTAGCAATTCTCTAGCTCCAGCACTGACAGTAGATCCTGATCTCCATCTTATTAACTGACTGAAATGGCACTCTATACAAATCTCGAGGTTAAAGACCATAAACCATCACCGTTCATTGACTTTCCATTGTCCTTTAGCTCTCAGTTTAGTTCCCTTTGCTAATGCAAATTGGGGCTGTTCATTTAATCGAAAATCTGGTTTCGATTTCGATTACGGCTTCTAACGATTATGAAAAACCATTAATCGAGAGAAACGATTATTCCATCGTATACCGCCTCCTTTCCAGTTCCATGTGAAAGTGACTAAAAGATGTGCTGTAATGTAACTTCTGCAGCATGGGATGCGCATCATTCATATTTTTAAAAGCGCGAAAGAGCACGTGCTGTTGTGTGTGTGCGCGCTGCACTTAGCCTCGGAAAAGTATTGTGTGTGTGTGTGTGTTTGTGCGTGTTTGTGTGCGCGCGGTCTGCGCTCAGCCTCGGAAAGCAGAGCTTATGCACATCTAACCGTCTTAATGCGAGCGCTTTAATGGTCAATTACGTGCACGGTGTTTAGTGATCATTCATCAGGGTTCAACGCTAAAGATTTTTTCTACTGGTCCGATCAGGTCAGTGGTTCAGATTTTTACTTGCCCTACCAAAATTTTCACTGGCCCCACTAAAAAAAGGGAAGTTAATAGCTATTTTTAGAAACATATTTAAAATATGAGTGTGTCAAAAATAAAGTCTTTGAATCTAGAATTTCAATACTTCAAAACATGTTAATAAAAGTGTTATGCAAGCAAAAAGAGCAGAGGAAAATGTGGAGGTATTTTATTGCGGTTCAAAATTATTTAACAAAAGGTGGCTGACTTGTCCAACTGACGGCAAACTGTGCAAAACATCACTTTATTTTTTTTTGTCGCATTGTTCACAAGACGTTAGAAACAGACATTTTCTTTTAGCCTTATAATTTGATGTTGCCGCCATGTTGCTGTCTCTTCGCTGTATTGGTTGTTACCAGGTTACGGAAAAAATAGCATGCTCAAAACATCAAATCACATAAGAGGAACCGAAAAGCAATATGGTCTTGACGACATCACAGAGAAGGAAGTGTTTTAAGACTTAAAAGAACAAACTTAAAATGCACGCAATTGACAAATAGTCGCAGACAAATAAAATGTTAGTGACAAGGCAGCACTGTCCAAATCAGGCCAGTAATGATTCTGTCTACTGTCCCAAGCGTCTCTCACGCTGGCCCTGGGCCACCGGGCAGTCCTTATTGTTGAGCCCTGATTCATATTAATCCTCATTTATGTAATAAACAAGTTGAGAATCAAAAGACACGTGAAAGAGAAACCATATTGGAGCCGCACTATTCTTAAAGTGACAGCGTGCGATATTCCTGCTGCTGTTTTTATTATTAATCAAACAACAAAAGGACAAAATCCACTCGCTGCTCTTGACTGAAGGACTTATGTAGTTAAAGTTTTTTTCTTAGAGTGAAGATGCTTAAAGCACAGTTTAAACAGAACAGATTTAATATCTCATTTCAAATAACTGATTTCTTTTATCTTCGCTATGATGACAGCATATTATATTTTACTAGATATTCTTCAAGATACTAGTATTCAGCTTAAAGTGAGATTCAAAGGCTTAAAGGTGCAGTAGGTGATCTTTCACAATGCTAACAGCTTAGCATACATCTCTGAATCACAGTCCCTCCCCTGCTGTCTAGAGCCACGCCTCCTTGAACAGCAAAAGAACCCTCTCTCATGTGCTAAGGCTGATTTATACTTCTGCGTCAAACACCAGCGTATGCTACGGCGCTGACGCATAGCCCTTCGCCGTGGCCATCGCCGTCACTGACGTGCACCTCTCAAAAAAATGTAACTACACGTCGCAACGACGCGTAGCGTAAGCTCTGTGATTGGTCGGCTTGGTAGCGCTGACGAGTCTGGGCGGGACCGAGAGCCGCGCGAGCGATTGTTTACAAGTCCCGTGAAGGAGCTCCGGATGGAAAGTTTTGTTCTGTGTTTACCTCATTGTTAAAGTTGTTGCACGTCCGCCGGTTCCTGCCTCAAAATGAGCGAGTTTGAGCCACTTGTACATCCCGGAAGTGTTCAGGAAATGCAAAAAAGTAGCGAAGAAACTCGACACAGAGACAGATGAACACCTCACTGCCAAATAGCGTTTCGGAAGTGTTAATGCAGACCGACAGAGACAGCGCCCAGAAGTATAAATGCACAGCCACGCGCGTTGCCTGCGCCGTGGGTTACGCCGGTCACCCGACGCAGAAGTATAAATCAGGCTTTAAAAGCGACTAGTGCTTGTCCGCGGGGGTGCAAGCCAAACTGACATGCTATTTCAGAGTGAATATTTAGAGTTGCATGGTAAACAATATAGGGAGAGACTAGGCGTAATAGCGCTATTTACTTGTGTTTTGTTGTTAAACTAATTCAAATCTACACTATAGATGCTGTAAAAGGTCCCAATGAAACTGAAAATAGTCTAATCAATCTTTTATCGGAAGATTTTAGTGGCTGAACAACACTTCTGTGAAGATATAACCCGTTTGTAACAACAACATCACATCAGTTGCATGAAGCTAAAATAGTTTTAAAACAAAACATTACCTTTCTAAGAGAAATCCTTTCATCCTTTCCCCAGCATGCAAAGATAACTTCAATATTGATTCAGGTTTTTAAAAAGTTTTGATTCAGCAGGTTTTTGCCGATCTCGCGGGCGCGCGTGCCCTCTCTTGTGAACGCGCAGCACCAACATGGGTCGGCGGAGCTGCGTACAAACGCCTGCGCAGTTTTTCAAATCTGCATTTGCTGACAGACAGTCTGACCTGCTAATCGGAATTATGAGAGATGATAGTCCAACTCTATTTAATTGGATGAACATTTTTTAGTTCTATGCCTTACCCAAAATATAAAAATACATATAAATACATTTAGATCATTTACTGTAATCATTACTATTAGACTGTGAAGAGACTTTCAACCAGCACAACAAAAAATGCTTCTGAAGACAATCACCTACTGCAGTGGTTCTCAAAGTGGGGGTCGGGACCCCTTGAGGGGTCGCGGAACAATAAAGGGGGGGGGGTCGCCTGGTGATTTCCAAAAATCTACTTATTATTATTATTAGACCATAAGAATTACCATATTTTATCCATAACCAACTGAAGAGAAAAAAACAGTAGTTTATAGTTACTATAGTAGCTTATTTACTTGTTCTATTGGATTGCGACCCCTGGGGTAAATACATTATTTTAAAGACACAGCAATAGCGTCAGATGCAGCAGATTGATTTTATAACACCAGGTTAAACTTTCTGGCCCATTTACAGCACTGAAATACATTAAAAAATTGAACGAAGAATAGACTTTGGTCTATTGGTGTGTGTGTGCGCCATTACATGCAAGTTTTCTGTATTTATAACCACCTCAGGGGATATTGGGGGTCGCGAGTCACTGGTATTGTTATTTTAGGGGTGGCGTGCTGAAAAGTTTGGGAACCCCTGACCTACTGCACCTTTAATTAGAGTAAATAGGCAAGTCATTATGTAACAGTAGTTTCTTCTGCAGACATTAAAAAATATATATTGCTTAAGGGGGCTAAAAATATTGAGCTATTAAAATAGGTTTCAAAATATTTAAACCCGATTTTTTTTCTAGCTGAAATAAAACAAAAAAGCCTTTCTCCAGAATAAAAAATATTATAGGTAATACTGTAAAATATTGCTCTGTTAAACATAATTTGGGGAAATATTTATATTTATATAAAATTCACTGTAGGGCGAATAATTTTGACTTCAACTGATATTCGTTTTGAATAATCGTGATTACAATTATGACCAAAATAATCGTGATTATGATTTTCCCCATAATCGAGCAGCCCTAATGCTAATCACTGCTAAGGCTCAGAGCTGCCATGTGAGGTTTGTTTTTCAGCCTCCATTACTCACATTTTCACCCAAACATCAGGGTGTTGCTGTGTGTCTTGTCCTTGCTTGTCGTATTGTGTTACACGGCTGTTCTCCACAGCTGTCAGAGACCTGCACGAACACAGAAGAAGTGATTTCTGCATTCACTGTGTTAAAGAACTGAAATTACATTCAAATCATAGACAGATTTAGACAGACTTTTTTCTTTAAACGTGGCTGTAGTTGACATTATTAAGGGTGGAACTTCTTATTTGGTTAACGGAGAGAGAATACTAAGAATAAAGAAGTCATTGCAGCTCTTGATGGGACGTTCTGGAGAATGGCTCCAAAATGTGTTTTTGGTCATGGATTGCAGTTGATAGCTAAACAGAAACCGTGCTGTGTGTGCAGTTGACTGAATGGATTCACCATTGTTACACCAGTGTTACAGGAGCTAGGCTATATCGGTGCATTAAGTATAAAAATGAAATACTTTTCTGAGAAAATATGACTGCATTGCTGTTTTGTAGTCCATTCATAGGGCAGTCTGTCTGTCCATCCATCTGGCGATCTGTCCATCCGTCCCTCCATGGGTCTATCCATATCATCTTATTTTATCCATCCATCCTTCAGTCAATGCATCGATCCATCTGTCAATCCATCCATTGGGCAACCTGTCTGTCAATCCATCAATTCATCCATCCATCCGTCTTTCCATTCATTGGACAATTCGTCCATCCGTCCATCAATCGTTCCATCCATGCCATCTCATTCTATCCATCCATCCGTCAGTCAATCCATTCATCCGTCCGTCCATCTATCTGTCCATCCATTTGTCTATCTATCTGTCTATCTGTTTGTCTGTCTGTCTGTCCGTCGTCCATTTGGCAATCCATCCATTCATCCATCCATCCATCCATCAATCCATCTGTCCATCTATCCGTCCGTCCATCCAATCCATCCATCCATCCATCCAACCGTCTGTCCATCTATCGGGCAATCTGGCCATCCATTTATTCATCAGGCAATCTGTCCATCTGTCAATCCATCGGTCCATCCATCTC